TGCTTTTGAGCCACATGTTTTCATTTTCTTGGTAATGTAAGCTGAACATTTTTCCTTCTGTTATTTTCAGTATAGAATTTTTATTTTTTGTCCTATTTTTCTAGCTTTTTCTGATTTTGTTAATTTCTTTCTGATTAGGTGCAGTGGTACATGCCTGTAATTCTAGTGATTTGGGAGGCTGGGTCAGAGGGATGGCAAGTTTGAGACCCTTGTCTCAAGGAATGAAAAGGGTTGGGGATGTGGCCCTGTGGCAAAGCACTCCTGGGTTCAATACCCAATACCCCCATACTCCCGAGGAGTTTTTTTTCTGCAGGAAGATATAACATTTAGATCTAGATAAAATTTATGTACTCACTTCTGCAGGTTAATTTCAGACAGGTTAGAAAAGCTCACCTACATAATGGTTAACTCTAAGGAAAAAAATGCTTGTCAGCTGTATCCTCCTCTCCCCCTCACATCTCATTACATTACAGGTGGATTAAAGAGTTAAATGTGAACGCTTAAAGTTATAATTAGAACAGTAGGAACTACATATTAACTTTTAACTGATCTGGGTGGGGAAAGACTTTCTAAACATAAAAGCTGGGGAAGAAAACAAGTAGAGGATCATTTGCTTTTTCAGCATAAAAATTAATGTCTTCATGTCATAACAAGCTCTAACAAAATTAGAAGGCAAGCAACAAAATGTAAAAGCATTTGCAATAAATGTGAGTGAAACGGCTGGGGATGTGGCTCAGGCGGTAGCGCGCTCGCCTGGCATTGCTACTACTTATGCAAAAACTAGACAAAATTGGAGTAAATTGTCTATAAACTCATTAAGCATTTAGTTTGAAACTAGTTTTCTACACATGCATTAGCTTTGCATCACTGTAATGAAATAACTGACATAGGCTGCTTAGGAGGTAAAGAGAGGTTTATTTTGGGCACAGTTTGGGAGTTTCAAGTCCAAGATCAGGTGGCCCCATTGGTTTGGGATTCTAGTGAGGGGTGCACATCCTGGTAGGAATATATGCTGGTGATCACGTCTCTCACCAGAAAACAGAGACTGAGGAAACAGACTGAGAGACCAATATTCTACTGTCCTTTTCAAAGGAATGCTCTGAATGACCTAAGTCCATTCATAGGCCTTGTCTTTTAAAGGTTTCCCTGCAGCATTGCCAACCTCGGGACCAAGGCTTTAACACGTGGACATTTAACATCCAAACTATTGCAACATGATTTGTATAATTGTTATTGATATTACCCATAAGAAACAACTAGGGTGGGACAGGGACCTGGATATCACAGGGCACTTTGCAAGTAAGCACTGGAGTTAGAAGGATAAGTAAACATGTTGCATGCCTGGAAGGAGCTTTTACTTTCTGGGAAGGGTCAGACTGGCCATTTTAATGTAGTCTATTAGGTGCTACAGGAAGGGAAAGTACAGAAGGCTTGTAAGATCTCGCCTAGTCTAGAAAGTGATAGAAACAAGTAGCTGAAATCTAAATTGGGACCTGGAGGGTGAGCTAGATGTGGGCATAGTTGGCTAGTCCTGGGAAGGGTGTACAGATGGGGAATGGTGTTCAGGACACTTGGTGTTTTGAGGAGAGGAAGCAGCCATGTGGATGGTAAGGAGGAGAATGTGTTCCAGTCAGGTCCTGGAGTGAGGGCAGAAGGCAAGGACTGAGGAGACCAGGACTGGACCTTAAGGGCTCTCTGTGGAAAAGAAAATTATCAAGTAATGCTAGTTAGTATGTATTTTCATGTGTTAATTAACCATATCTTTTTACTGAGTTGACATTTTAAATTTCAGGCTTCTTTGTTAAAGAATGATGAGACTAAAGCCCTCACTCCAGCTTCCTTGCAGAAAGAATTGAACAACTTGTTGAAATTTAATCCTGATTTTGCTGAAGCGGTAAGTCTTTTCTGGAATTTGTTGCTGAGATGGAAGAAGGTCAAGGCTGTTTGGTATATTAAATAGCCACACAAATGAGGACCAATCTTAAACATTGGCCTAAGTTCTTGAAAGAATATTGACAAGAAACAGCACAAGTTGCAAAGCTCTTCCCACCCTCACCTGGCTGTAGGGCATTGCTTAGCTTTTGATGTTCTTTCATTTGTCATCTCTCTGATGATGTGAGCTTTGGACAGATGATGATAGAATAGACTGATCAAAAAAAAAAAAAAAGAAAAAGAAAAACAAAGATGGGCTGGGGATATAGCTCTATTGGTAGAGTGCTTGCCTTGCATGCACAAGGCCCTGGGTTCCATCCCCAGCACCACCAAAAAAAAGAAAAAAGAAAAGAAAAGGTTTGGGCTGTGGAACCAACCCAGATGCCCTTCAATGGATGAATGGATTAAAAAAAGTGGCATTTATACACCATGGAGTATTACGCAGCACTAAAAAATGACAAAATCATGGAATTTGCAGGGAAATGGATGGCACTAGAGCAGATTATGCTTAGTGAAGCTAGCCAATCCCTAAAAAACAAATACCAAATGTCTTCTTTGATATAATGAGAGCAACTAAGAATAGAGCAGGAAGAAAAGATTGACATTAAACAGAGACACGAGATGGGAGGGAAAGAGAGAGAAAAGGGGAATTGCATGGAAATGGAAAGAGACCCTCATTGTTATAAAAAACTACATAAAAGAGGTTGTGAGAGGAATTGGAAGAAAAAACAAGGAGAGAAATGAATTACAGTAGATGGGATAGAAAGAGAACATGGGAGGGAAGGGGGATAGAGGATAGGAAAGGTAGCAGAATACAACAGTTACTAGTATGGCATTATGTAAAAATGTGAATGTGTAACCGATGTGATTCTGCAATCTTGTGTTTGGGGTAAAAATGGGAGTTCATAACTCACTTGAAACTAATGTTTGAAATATGATATGTCAAGAGCTTTGTAAGGTTTTGAACAACCAATTTAAAAAAAAAAAGGTTTGGGGGCTGAAAAACTCTTTTCCTCAGCTTTTTTTTTTTTTTTTTTTAATTGTTGTTACTAATTGTTTTTTACTAGGGACTTGAACATAGGGGTCCTTAACCACTGAGCTACATCCCTAGACTTTATTATTTTGTATTTTGAGACAGGGCCTTGTAAGTTGCTGAGGCTTTCCTTGAATTTGTGATCATCCTGCTTCAGCCTCCTGAATTGCTGGGATTATAGGTGTGCACTGCTGCGTCCGTTTATGAACATTTTTATCACCCCCTTATTTCACTCCATAATAGGGATTGAACCCAGGAGTGCTCTACCACTGAGCTACATCCCAGCCCTATTTATATTATTCTGAGACAGAGTCTTGTTGAATGCCCAGACTGCCTCAAACTTGTGATCCTCCTGCCTCAGTCCCCCAAGTTACAGGGATTACAGGCGAGCAACACCATGTGTAGCTGTTTTTTTCCTTAAATTTTAATAATTTAATTCCTTAGGATTTTTAACTCTGAAAATTTTTCTTCACTAAGTATTCACTTAGTATCTGGGTTTGACATAAGAGTTTATTTATATGTGGAAATATGCCCATTTTTCTTTGTTGTAAATTAGCAAAAAGTTTGATTCAGTGATTCAAAATAAAAGAAAGTAATGAATTTTAATTTCAGTAACTCACTGTGTTTTAATTTGGGCATTTAGAAAAATCAGTTTTGTACTTTGCGATGAATTTAAGTTTTAAGATATTTAGATTTGAGCTCACGGTGTTCCTCAATACCTGAACTAGGTGAGGCCTGCTGCCCTTGTGTGTCATTCATGGATCCTAATGCAATCAGAGGCCTAATGGATGTATGTTTAGGATAAAATTGACACAAACAGTAATGACACTCCCAATTTTTATTCGTGGACTCCCTCTGGAGCAACTGTGCTAGCTCCTATTGAGAAAAGATAAGATAAATCTTGACTTTTCTCAAGGGTAGGGGAAATAACAAGTGTCTAGCCCATGGTGCTCTCCATAATA